ATTAGATGGTAGGTCTCACCAGGAGGTGATTTAAATAAATCCTAAGGGCAGACTGGTATATAAACTGCTAAATCGTGCTATAGTGTAAATCACTGTTACATTGACAATTTGAGTGGGGAAGTGGTTTGCAACGTTTTCCTAGATGGCTTGCAGCTTACAGAGCTCTTGGGGAAACATTTTCACTCCTTGCAACAATTTCTTTTTACATTTGAAAAGACTGAAGCTTAGATTGGTTAAGTGGACTTTAGGAGTGAAGGTGTGTGACTGAGCCCAGTGTGGGGAACAAGTCTAGAGCCCTGTGTGCACGCTGAGGGGCCTTAACGTTCCATGCCTTTTATCACTGCTACAGCTGTCTGGCTATCAGAAATCTCTGTGGATTGTTAGAAACAAAAGCCCACGCCCCACTCCAGGAGGGCTGACTTCCTTGCTTTAACTGGCTCCACAGGCAGTCTTAATGGGTATCTAAGAGTTTCAAACCTAGAGTTCACAACTGCTGCTTCAAAGAGAAGGAGCTGAGCAGTGGATGGGACAATCGGGGCCATCAGAGGGCACATTAGCTGCCCTTCCTGCCACGGGTTGATTCATAGTAAAAGGAAACTAACCACCTAGGAGACAGGAGGAAGAGCCTTGTGGGAGGGGTGTGGACCGCCACACCCTGTCCTCTTAACAGACCACTGCTAAGCGTCTTGTCCTTCACACCACCCGAGTAAGTACAGCAGTTCCCTGGCCCAAACCCAGTTCCTGCGGATTCTAACTCAGTGACCCTGTAGGAGAGGGTAGAACTGCCCCATAGAGTGTCCAAGGCTGTAAATCTTTCTGAAAGCTGGCCACCGCAGCCTTCTGCGAGGAAGCTGGTGAGTGAACCGTCGCCTTTCATTTCGCAGCCAGGTTCTTTAAGCACCGCACCACCAGGGCTGCTTCCTCCTAGCGTAGCTTGAGCCATACCAAACCTATCTGAATAGAAGTGGCAGGTCTTGTCTCCATCTTCTGTTCTTGTCTGTGTTTCTTGGTACAAAACAGTAATTGATCTGTTAGCGTACCTGTTCTGCCATCTGATACATGGTCTCCTCCTGGGGGGGGGTCTGCATGCCCCCCCCCTTGACTTTGTCCTTATTTGGCAGAACTGTAGGCTCCTGGTAGGACTTTTGATACTATAGTGTGGATTGTGTTGCTCTCCTGATTGAAAGTTCAGCAGTTCAAATCCCCCAGCTGCTCTGTGGGAAGAAGATGGGTGATCTCTTATAAAGATTTTCAACCTTGGGAATTCTACAGAAGGTCCCTGTGAGTCATAATTGACTCTGTGACAAGGGGTTTGGTTTGCTTTGGTCTCTCGAGGCCAAAGACCATATCTGAAGCTTGTTTTTTTTGCCTTAACAGTGTTGACTTTAAGGGAGACATTGTGGGGGTGTGAAAGAAGCAGAGGGATGAAAGGTGGACTCTGACTTCTGGAGTTAAGTCTCTTTTCTATTGTGTGACCTTGAACCTCTCCAAGCACTAGTTTTTTGAGTCACCTAGGCAATTGTGGTAATACTTCCCACGATAGTGGTTAAAAGTTCAGTGAGATTGGGATGTAACAAAAACAGAAAATCCTTCTTAAGTGTGTTTTTCTGACTGAGTGCCTGCCAGTAGTTTAAGACCAGGAGTTGCAGGAGGTGAAGACAAACAGGAGAACCACTTTGTTCTTTCAGGGCTTAAAACCCTTCTGGCTCTTGATTGCGGTGGCCACTTTCTTTGTCAAAATGATTTCACTAGGCTGAATGTAATGGCAGTAGGACAGGTTCTTGCTGCCTGTGATTGGCTTGGAACAATGAGAAAGAATCCAGCTAGAACAGTTTGAAGAAAGGGCTTGGCCAGTCAGCCTCACTTTTTGGTGTCTCCAGAGAGGACATGTCAGTTGGGCTTCGGCTTCTGGTGCACCTCTGATTCCAGCCTCCCCTGGCATCAGGTGAGGTTTATTTCCAGGTCCCCGGCTCCCCCCTGTTCAGGCAGATGGCTGCCTGAGAGTGGAGGCCAGGCCAGAAAGCAGTGGGCTGCTGGGGGTGGAGGGGAGGCGGGAGGAGGCACAGCACCTGTCACCCTGACCTTCCGGAGTGGAGCAGACGTCATCCGATCCCTCCAGTGGAGGTCTTTGGATATAGGATCCAACCCAAGATAGCAGCCGTGCTCTTTAAGTCCCCGACGTGGTTCTGACCCAGATAGCTGGAGGCCTGACCCGGCCACTGGCAGGCAGGGCCCATCTGCCTTGTGGTTTGTGCCAAAGAGAGTAGAAGGCTTTCCCAGCCGGAGGTCCTTCCACAGGAATTGCACCATCCTCAGCCCTGCTCCATCCAGAACTCGTGAGGGGTAGGTAACAGCTGTTTCTGGGCCAGGGATGCCCCTGAGGGTGGTGTTTTTAGAGCCCTTTCTGGGACCCTCGCACTGAGCTGGAGGAGGAACACTTCTCTCCACTCTCCTCCGTCTTGACGGCTCTGGAGTCCTGGCCAGCTCACTGAGGCCCATGGTGACCACAACAGTGGGAGAAGCCAGGCTGCCCCTGAAGGCCTAGGGCTCAGCATCCCATCCTCAGGTCTCAGTCATGAAAACTCCCCGCAGCTCCAGGTTTGTTCTGCACAAATGGAGGATCTGCCGGTGCTGTTTGACATTTCTCAAGCGTGCTGCCAAATAGAGGGTGGATTTGCAAACGTTTTTCTTGGCGGATCCCCACCTGGCTCCGTGAGTAGGTACTTGTTGGGTCTTAACTTGCCTGTAGCACCATGTGACAGACAAGCTCAGAGTACAAAGCAGTTGGGTGAATTTTCACCAGTAAGTCCCTGAGATGAGTGGTGGACGCCAAGTTTATTTTCGTCATGAATGATGGATTGTTTGCATTCTAAGTCCCTTCTGAGGCTTAAGGAGCCTTGAGGGTGCAGTGGTTAAAACGCCAGGCTGCTAACCTGTAACAGGTTGGTGGTTTAACCCACCAGCCCCTCCCCTCAGGAGAAAGATGAGTCAGTCTACTTCTGTACAGACATGCAGTGTTAGAGACACCGAGGGACACTGCTCTGTTCTATCAGGTGTTGGAATAGATTAGAAGTCAGACCTGAGGGTGGGATGCTGAGCCCCTGAGGTCGGGACGGCCTGGTTTATAAGGGAACCACGGCCCTCAGGGAGCTGGCCACAGCTCCAGAGCCCTCCGATGGAGGAAAGGGGAGAGATGCAGCTTCCTCCCTGGCTCAGTGCCCGGGTCCAAGGAAGGTTCTAAAGATGCCACACTCAGGGGCGTGTCTGGTCCACAAAAGGCTGCTCCCCGCCCCTCCTGAGTCTTTGATCAAGCACGGCTGTGGGTGGTGCAAGTCCCGTGGAAGGACCTCCAGCCGGGAGAGTCTTCTACCCTCTCTGAGTCCTAGGACAGAGGAAGGCTGTGGATGGTACGATTCCTGTAGAATGACCTCTGGCCGGGAGAGCCGGCTACTTTCTTTGGCACAAACCACCTCTGAATCCAGTGGAGTGGTTCTGTGTGGGTTTTGATATCAGGCTCACCTGGACTCAAATACTGATTTTCCCAGTTAGTACCTTTCCTTTGTGGGTTTCCTCTGCAGTCAGAGTAGGGGACAACAGTGTTGGAGAGGTGTCTGCTGAGTCGTACACCAGAGCCACAACTGGGAAGTCACCACGATCCTATTAGACAAAGTAGAACTGCTCCATCATTTCCTAGGCTGTCTGTCTTTATGGACGCTCACGGCCGCCTTTTCTTCAGCAGAGCATGGCAGGCAGGCTAGAACCACTGACCTTTCAGTTAGCAGCTATGCACTTTAGCCACTGTTCCACCAGGAGTCACTTGCTAAGTGTTTGCTTCTAGTGACAGCAGCATCTTTCTGGGAAAAGTTGTCTATTAGCCCTTGGTCTGCTTTGGCGAAGGCAGTGAGAGGTGAGGCCATCCTGGGTCAGTGGCTCTCACCTTTCTGCACAGTGAGGTCACCCGAGGCTCTTGCACAGCTCTGTGCCAAGAGCACATGGGATAATGGCATTGAACTCCTGGGTCACAGCCGTCCGCGCTCGGTGCGACTCCCAGGTGATTCTGCAGCCACCGTGGAGAACCACGGTGTGACCTTGCTGCCCATGGCGTATGGGATTTAGAAGCAGAAAATCTACCTTCAGGTTCTGGGCTGCCCACTTCTAAGCCTCTTTTTCTTCTCATCTGTCCAAACGGGGACACAGGATAATCTTACCTCATCTGAGGGCCCCCGCGGAGCAAACGCAATGAGCAGTGCGCAGCTAGCGTTCTTAAAGCAAGTACACGGCCAGGCTTGCTTGTGAGCCTCTGTATATGATGGTAATTCCACTTGTGCACCATTTTTAAAAGTATCTTTTTGTATCTGCACTTGAAAGTCTTATAATTCTTTTATACCGAAAGAATGTGCTAGAGAGGAGCACTAAGGCTCTGATTTTTTTAAAAATTGGAATAAACTTTAGATCACTTCCCAGATTATGAACAAGTACTGTTTTTAAGTCTTAACTTGTACATAAGTCAGAACAATTTAAGTACGGGTTCTGAAGTCAGTTAAATGCTATCAGTTAAATGCATGTCTTTCTATGCATGAAAAAAAGAAATAAGATAGGCTAAAAGTTTCACCTAATAATAATAATAATAATAAAAAATTGTGTTTCAGTGTGTATTGCAAAAGAGCATTTCTTATTCTGAACCACTGTATGTGCTTGGAAGTTGATTTATAACTGTGCATTGTACTGAAGCCCAGGCGTTCATAGCCCGGGGGAACTGCCTATACTTACTGGCCGATTAATATGCAAGTGGCCTGGGAAGTGAAAGCGGAGCCAGTGAATCCGGTGGTTGTGCCCAGGCTAAGTTGAAAAGTCTCAGTTCTCTTTCTCAGCCAGCGACTCTTTCGAGCTTCAGCTTGGACACATTTGGTGAAGGAAGGTATTGGGCAGGTCCTGGCTGGCGGAGTGGTTTTCTCCCCTTCCCGATTCCCTGCTCACCCTGTGCCTTTGTCCTCACAGACCCGGCCATGGCTAGCTCAGGCAGCAGTTCGCCATGGGGCAGACATTTGTTCAAAGCTGTCCTGACGGTGGTCCTAGTTGTCCTTGTCCTCCTCCACGCGGCATCATCCCAGTCCCATCGAGACTTTGCACCACCAGGCTCTCAGAAGAAGGAGGCCCAAGCTGATATCCTGACCCAGATAGGCCGATCTGTGTGGGGGACCCTGGACGCCTGGATTGGGCCGGAGACCATGCACCTGGTCTCAGAGGTAAGGGAAGGGTCCCACTGTGACTTTTCACAAGGAATGGTAAGAACGGGGTGGCCCTCCACCTCATCAGTCCTTCTTGGCTCACGTCCTCTCTGTGTCATAATCCCTCACGCAGAGACCCAAATTCCACAAGAAGCCAGACTGAACCTGCCTTTAGCTCTCATTGTTTGATTCCTGCCCTGGGGCCACTTAGCAACCCTCATGTCTTTCCTTGGCCCATGCCCTTTCTTTGCCAGAAACAGGAATGAACCACCTTATTTATTTTTTTTTTTTTATTTCCATTCATTCATTGTTGCACTTTTCTCCCTGCCTACCCCTCCCCTCCAGTTCATTCTTCTCTTTGAAAAGTAAAAGAAACGTTCTTTCATTGTTATACAATCCCTCTCCCCAAGTCCACTCCACTATGCAGCCTTCATTCTGGACTCCTGTCATGACAATAATACCTAATTATATATACCTTTTAAACAGTTTTCTCTCTCATCTGTTTCAATGCAGTATACAAAGAACTCATGAAATATTATTCAGAATGGGTAACTCTGGAGGACATTATGCTGAGTGAAATATCTCAGTCACAAAAGGACAAATAATGCATAGTGCCACTGCTATAAAATGGGACAGACCGCCTTTATAAACACCCCAGCCACTGGGTGTGTGTGGAGGCTGACTTTGGTCTAAATCTATCCTAAAGCCTTACCCTGTCAACTGTCAAGGCATGAATCGTTTCCTTCAGCTGTTAGGGCATGTGTTAGAAGAGGACTGGCTTAGAGACTTAAGACGGGCTGCTTGCTGGCGTCCATACTTTGCTGGGTCATCCTGATGGACTGAGACAGCCGTTTCTAATGCCCACATAATACAGTGTATGCTCCTGTCCCTTTACAGACACCATTCCACATTGTCACGCTTCTCTGGAGGCTAGGAGCACTCCAGTGTTACAGGGTGACTGCCGCAGCGATTTCACGATGTCCAGCCTGCCCCGTGTACATGTATTCCTTCATTGAGTTTGACCTGTGGCTTCCAGTTCAGGGAGGGGAGGTGGGCTTCTGTCCATTTGCAAGCCGGATGTGGAAGGGACTCCAGGCAGGCCAGGGAACCACGGACCCCTGAGCTTGGCACTTCTCCACTGACTGAGATGTGGGCCCAAGATATTCCTGCTGTCTGTGCCTGGGTGCGGGTGCTCCGGCTGGGGCGAGGGCACATCATTAATTATGGACTCACCCATGTTTTCTCTGCAGACCTCGTCTCAGGTGATGTGGGCCATCTCGTCAGCCATCTCGGTGGCCTTCTTTGCTCTGTCTGGGATCGCCGCACAGCTTCTGAATGCCATGGGGCTCGACGGTGAGTGGCCAGGAGCTGATGAGGTCGCCTCGAGCGTGGCCTGTGATTTTGGTTCATAGATGCTGGTCTCTGTCAGGGTCAAGGCTTTGCCAGGCTCCTGGACACTGCCCAGACTTCTCTGGAGGTGGAAATCACCGCCACGTAAGAGACGGTTCAAGGGAGCTCAGGCACCCTAGGGGTGAAGAGCTGCTCTGCCTACGAAACCCACATGGTTTGAATCCACCAGCTGTTATGCCAGAGAAAGGTGGACAGTCACCTACTGTGCACTGAGCGGCCTCTGAAAACCTGCTGGAGGGTCAGCTTTGGGTCAGTCCCAATTCAGTAGTTCACAGGTGTTTCCATCTGTAGGTTATTAACCTCAAGTGTGGCGGTTCAAACCTACCCACTGGAGCTGTGGAAGGAGAAGGTCTAGTGATCTGCTTCCGTAAAGGTTTCTTGTGGAGCAGTTCTCCTCTGTGACGCACGGGGTCACTAGGGTCCAGAGCTGGCTTGGAAGCCAGAGATGCCACATAACAGGCACTAGGTTGGGCTGTAGTATCTCCTTTAATTATTAACCACACTCCCAGCAGGGCAGATAGCATTGTTGTTGCTTAATAGATGAAATGGAGGCTCAGAAAAGGCTTATGAGCTGCCCCAGGTCCTGTAGCAGCAGGAAGCGGAGCTGAGACTCAAACCCATGTCTCTTTGACTCTGTGAAGGGATCTTTTCCTTGCAGGGGAGTCCGCACTTCTCTCCTGTTCTTGCCCCCTCTCCCCTCAGCCCTTCTCCGGTTGGCCTGACTGACGCTCTGACTCTTCACTCCCTCCAGGTGATCACATCACCCAGGGCCTGAAGCTCAGCCCAAGCCAGGTCCAGACCTTCCTGCTGTGGGGAGCCGCGGCCCTCGTCGTCTACTGGCTGCTGTCCCTGCTCCTCGGCCTGGTCCTGGCCTTGCTGGGACGCATCCTGTGGGGCCTGAAGCTTATTCTCTTCCTAGCAGGCTTTGTGGCCTTGGTGAGGTCGGTGCCTGACCCTTCCACGCGGGCCCTGTTGCTCCTGGGCCTGCTGACCCTCTATGCCCTGCTGAGCCGGCTCACTGGCACGCGAGCGTCCGGGGCCCAGCTGGAGGCCAAGGTGCGGGGCCTGGAGCGCCAAGTGGAGGAGCTGCGCTGGCGGCAGAGGCGCGCAGCCAAGGGCCCCCGGAGCGTGGAGGAGGAGTGAGAAGACGCCCGCGGTGCCACCTGCGTCATACCAAAGAGCTGAGCTGCTTCTGGTTGCACAGCCTCCTCCCAGCCCCCCCCCCCCGCCTTTTTCTTGCCCTGTCTGCGAACCCCTAGACCTTTGCCTCTGCATCACACACCCCCTCCCAGCTGAGAAGGAGGAAGCCCGTTCCCCCTGCTGACCCTCGGGGTCCGTCTCCTCCTGACGTCCTCTGGGTGCATTCTTGTACTTCCTTTGCTTCGGGGCAGGTTGGAGGGTCTCAGCTCCGGCTCCTGCATATGCCCTCCGTGACACTGCCTGGGTCTCCCCTGACGTCACCAGCTCCCCCAGTGCTGCCTGGCCCCCTCCTGCTGCTCTTGCTCACCAGCTCTGCAGCTCCGCCCTTGTCAGGTCACCCACTCCCCGCCTGGTGTCCTCTCCTTCTGGCCCTGTACTCCAACCAAACCACAGTCCATCAAGGAAGGCTCCTGTCCTCGCACTGCCCAGCTGAGGGGAAGAAGCTGGGGATGTGGGGCCCGAGGATAAGGGGACAGGGCCCCCAAGGCCTGTGGTTCAGTTCTGGTGTGGGGCTGGGAGTGAAGACTTTCACTGAGTCTGTTACAAGTGCCTTAATCCAAGCCCGCGGGGCCCTCTACTTGCCCCTGGCCATACTGTATGTAGGAAAGCACGCTCTGGTTGCTTCACATCAAGGGCAGCAGCCCCTTTCCAGATCCCAGCTCCCCTCCAGCCAAAGCAAAAGAGGGCAGCTGCTTCAATTGGGAGGGTGGGTGAGACCCCGCCGCCATGGACGGTAGGCCTCCCGTGGGGACTCAAGACCCGAAGGAGGACTGCTCCCTGCCTGCACAGTCCAGGCTGTTCTCGGCGTGCCCTCCAGTCACTACCACCTGGAGTTGCTGCCCAGCGCCAGCCTGACATGCACTTGGGGAGTCAACAAGCACTGCACAGAAGCCAGATACAGCCCACAGCTTTCTCGTCCAGTTTTCTGCGGAGGTGGGGGTGTTGGTAGGGCCTGCCAGCTGACCCCTCTCTACCAGGCCACTTCTTCCCTGGAGGCTCTGGAAGGAGTGGGCATCTTCCAGGCCTGGCATTTGATGGGAAGAATGAATGCCCCGTTCTTGAACTGTCACGGTTTGATGTGGAGTCACAGCTGCAGCGAGATATATTTTTATCAGCGCTTGGTTGGTTTTAAATAAAGTGCACGCTATTTTATTATCTCGTTCTGTATAAAATATATTTGCCAAACAGCTGGATTGATTTGACTCCTCCCTCTCCCTCTGAACCCCCTTCTGCAGGGTGGCCCTGCCACCTCTTTCCTGCAGGGGCGGTGTGGCTCCTCCAAAGGGGAGGGAGCCAGAAGACAACCTGGTACCGGGTACCCTCCCCTCTGGAGGATGAGGAAGGCATTTCCCTCCCTCGGTCTCCAGGTCTTCCAGGAACCAGCCAGACTGGAATGTTAGGGTGGAATGAGATGGGGTCTGGCGGGCAGCTAGGAAAACTACCTGTCCCCGCCCCCCACCTGGGCCTGTGGGGTGCTCTGGGATCCTGGGTAGGATGTGGCTCTCAGTAAAACCTGTCCCAGGTCTTCCCGTGTGCAGCAGTGTTCTCTCCCTCCGTGCACCCCAAGTCCGCCCTTGTTCTCAGCCAGGCCATAGGTTGAGTCAGTTCTGTAAAAGCATAGCTTGGGTGTTGATTTCCCACCCCTCCACCCCCGCCCCTTTCTTTTTAAGCTACTCCCAGGGCAGGGGTGTTGTGCAGCTAGCAGCCCTGCCCTGAACTTCGCACACTGCTCACCCCAGCCTGGCCTGCTCGCTGGAGGGAGTCCAGCCCTCGCACCAGGTTCCCAGGCCTCTTTCTGGGGTGGGTCTGTCTGCGCCCGCCCGAGGCCATTCTTACAAGGGGTGGCCCAAGGCCCTGTCAGGGCAGGCCCAGGTGCTTGTCAGCGGGCCGCATTTGGCCCTTCGTGCCCCTGCTGGTCCGCTCCCCTGTGTCCTGAATGCAAGGCTGATTCAGGTGTCTGTCAGATGTCCTTACAGGTGAGCTGTTTGGGGAGGGAAGTGAGAGAGAGTGGCTTTCCCCAGCGTGGCCTGGAACTGGCAAAGGAGCGGCCAGCAGTCAGTGTCCCGCCTGGCCGAGGCGGGCCAGTCCCGGGTTAGGTGCATGCCGAGGGGCTCGGCGTCCCTCCCTGACCTCGGGGCCCGGGCGCGGGAGCGCGCGGGGAGCGGATCCGCGGGGC